GGGAAAGGGTGGGAGGGGGTGAGGGATAAAAGACTACAAATTGGGTTCAGTGTATACTGCTAAGGAGATGGGTACACCAAAATCTTACAAATCACCACTAAAGAATTTACTCATGTAACCAAATATGACCTGTTCCCAAAAACCTATATAAATTTTTTTTTAATGTAATGACAAAAAAGAAGCTTAAGAAAGAAATCTTTAAAAAGTAGAATGAAGAGTCATTGGCATCTAGTAATGAGACTAGATGAGATCACCAAGGAAATGAATAAACATAGAAAAGAGGAGATAACTAAGGACTAGAGCTGCACTGTCCAATACAATAGTCACATGTACCTACTGAACTTGGAAAATGCAACTAAACTGCACTGAGAAGTGCTGTAAAGATAAAATACATATAAGATTTCAAAACTTAATATACATCTTAAAATGTAAAATATATAATTATTTTATATTGATTCTATGTTGAAATAATTTTGGATATGTGAAGTTACAGAAAATATTATTAAAATAAGTTATATATATTTCTTTTTAGTTTTCTTAATATGGCACTTGAAAACTTACAATTACATGTGTTGCTTGCATTGTATTTCTATTGGACAGCCCTAGACAATACTCTGACTCAGGATAGTGCTATGATTAGGTTTGTTTTAATACCATTGCTCTATGAGTAATAAGAGATTAGATTTGAGAATGTTAGGGAAGTTAGAAGAGGCTACTACAGTGATTCAGATAAGAAAAATAGGGCCTTAATTCAATTCAGAGGTGCCAAAAATATGGGTTCTGTCTTAGTCCATTTTGTGTTGCTGTGATAGAACATCACAGGCTAAGTAATTTATAAAAGAAAACAAATGTATTTCTCACAGTTCTTGGGGCTGAGAACTCTAATATCAAGATGCTGGCATCTTGTGAGGACCTTCATGCTGCATCATCTCATGATAGAAACTGTAAGGGCAGGCCGGGGACAGTGGCTCACGCCTGTAATCCCAGCACTTTTGGAGGCTGAGGCGGGCAGATCACGAGGTCAGGAGATCGAGACCATCCTGGCTAATACAGTGAAACCCTGTCTGTACTAAAAATACAAAAGATTAGCCGGGCATGGTGAGGTGGGCGCCTGTAGTCCCAGCTACTCGGGAGGCTGAGGCAGGAGAATGGTGTGAACCCAGGAGGCAGAGCTTGCAGTGAGCCAAGATCGCAGTACTGCACTCCAGCCTGGGCGACAGAGTGAGACTCTGTCTCGGGGGGAAAAATAAATCAGTGAAACAGGTAGTTGATATTTTGCAAAGTTAAACAAATTTAACAAATGTTTAGCCAGACTAACCAGGAAAAAAAGAGAGAAGATTCGAATAAATAAAATCTGGAATTAAAAAAGACACATTACAACTGATGTTGCAGAAATTCAAAAGATCATTAGTGGCTACTATGAGCAACTATATGCCAATAAATTGGAAAATCTAGACAAAATGAACAAATTCCAAGATACATACAACCTACCAAGATTGAACCATAAAGAAAGCCAAAACCTGAACAGACCAATAACAAGTAATGAGGTCAAAGCTATAGTAAAAAGTCTCTCAGTAAAGAAAAACCTGGGTAGCTTAACTGATGAATTCTACCAAACATTTAAAGAACTAGTATCAATTCTACTCAAACTGTTTCAAAAAAAAATAGAGGAGAAGGGAATACTTCCAAAGTCATTCTGTAAGGCTAGTAAAACCCTAATACCAAAACCAGACAAGGACCCATCAAAAAAGAGAAAAAAAGAAAACTACAGGTCAATCTGATGAATATTGATGCAAAAATCCTCAACAAAATAATAGCAAAGCAAATTCAACTATGCATCAGAAAGATCATTCATCGTGACCAAGTGGGATTTACCCCTGGGATGCAGGGATGAATCAACATACCCAAGTAAATCAATGTAGTACCTTATATCAACAAAATGAAAAATAAAAACCATAAGATCACTTCAAACGATGCTGAAAAGTCATATGATAAAACTCAACATCTCTTCATGTTAAAAACCCTCAAAAAACTGAGGATATAAGGAACATACATCAATATAATAAAAGTCACTTATGACAGACCCACAGCTAGTATCATACTGAATGGGGAAAAATGGAAAGCCTTTCCTCTAAGATCTGGAACACAACAAGGATGCCTACTGCCACCACTGTTATTTAACATAGTACTGGAAGTCCTAGCTAGAGCAATCAGATGAGAAAAAGCTATGAAGGGCATCCAAATTGAAAAGGAAAAAGTCAAATTATTCTTGTTTGCACATGATACTGTCTTATATTTGGAAAAACCTAAAGACTCCACTAGAAAACTATTAAAACTGATAAACTCAGTAGAGTTGCAGGATGCAATATCAACATACAAAAATCAGTAGCATTTCTATATGCCAACTGTGAACAATCTGAAAAAGAAATAAAAAGATTAATCTCATTTACAACAGCCACACATAAAATTAAATACCTAGAAATTAACTAGGGAACCTGGAAACAAATCCATACACCTAGAGTGAACACATATTCAACAAAGGTACCAAGAACATATACTGGGGAAAAGACAGTCTCTTCAACAAATGGTGATGGGAAAACTGAATATCCATATGCAGAAGAATGAATATCTCTCACCATACACAAAAATCAAATCAAAATGGATTAAAGACAAATCTAAGACCTCAAACTATGAAACTACTACAAGAAAACATGAGGAAAATCTCCAGGACATTGGTTCAGGCAAAAATTTCTTGAGCAATACCCCAGAAGCACAGGCAATCAGAGCAAACATGGACAAATGGGATCACATCAAGTTTGAAAGCTTCTGCACAGCAAGGACACAATCAACAAAGTGAAGAGACAATCCGCAGAATGGGAGAAAATGTTTGCAAACTACCCATCTGACAAGGGATTCATAGCCAGAATATATAAGGAGCTCAAAAAACTCTATAAGGAAAAAATCTAGTCATCCGATTAAAAAATGGGCAAAAGATTTCAGTAGACATTTCTTGAAAGAAGACATACACATGACAAACAGGCATATGAAAAGGTGCTCAACATCACTGATCTTCAGAGAAATGCAAATCAAAACTACAATGAGATATCATCTCACCCCAGTTAAAATGGCTTATATCCAAAAGACGCACTAACAAATGCTGGTGATGATGTGGAGGAAAGGGAACCTTTGTACACCGTTCCTGGGAATGTAAATTAATACACCCACTATGCAGAATAGTTTGGCGGTTCCTCAGATAACTAAAAATTCAGCTACTATATGATCCAGCAGTCCCACTGCTACATATATACCCAAAGGAAGGGAAATCAGTGTATCGAAGAAATATCTGCACTCCTACATTTATTGCAGCACTGTTTACAATAGCTAAAATTTGGAAGCAACGTAAGTGTACATAAACAGATGAATAAAGAAAATGTGGTACATATACACAATGGAGTACTATTCAACCATACAAAAGAATGAGATCCACAACTGTAGCAGCTCTGCTCCCACCTCAGGCCTGCAACACAGGAGAGCACAATTCCAGTGCTCACTGCTGAGACACTTTCCACAATTCTAGCTGTGGAGGCTCTTAGCCCACACCAGGGCAAGAACTCCAATCTCTGGCCCAAGACCATAATCCTTACGTGGCCATGCTGCAGGCTCACCATAGAATGAATGACTTTGTATGCACCCAGATTAAAAATGATGTCCTGCTATTGGTCCTGGGTTTGGGAAAATGTCTGCAGCTTTTCCCAGCGCTTTTCCCTCTCAGTTTCTCCAAGCTTCTCCCTAAGTTAGCTCCAGGGCTTGGGAGAAATAAAATGCTCCCCCTCAACCTGGGTTCCTTGGATTTCCCGTGGAAAGATGAGTCACAGAGGGAGGCTCTCTGCTTCTCTCACACAGTGGGACTTCACTCACTTCTATCAGCCAGACATCATCACGGGGACTGTTCGCCCACGCTGTCCTCCCCAGGATCTGGGTGTCCTTAACAACACCCGTGAGTTTCTGTTTTCCTTTTTGAATTAAAGCCCATAGAGTTGATCTTTATTCACTATTCTTTTATTTCCAAGTTGCTAAAGTATGCTAAAAGCCCCCTAATCTGCCATCTTGGAAAAAAAATCGAAACATTATATGTAACTATTACGACACTACCACAATAACTCAGTGTAACAGATTATCCTCATTTTACCAATGAAAAAAGCAAAACTAAGTTATAGGTTAAGTAATTTTCCTGAGTCACAGAGAAAGCAAAGAGCAAAGAACTCAACTTCAGATCCTCCTTACTTCAAAATTCTATTTAGCATTGACATATGAGTTTCCAGATTTTTCTGGGAAAAGAACATCCCTCTCCCATACTACTAACTGACCTGTTCATTTCTTAATGCTGTGGAAAGTTTTATAAGTTCATAAATGTTGCATCTGTGAGTAAAATAAATTTTTGATACACCATAATTGCCATCTTTCTAACAAGTGTCACGAAATGATGGAAGATCTCAAAACAAGCTTCTCATGGAAGACATTGTATAATTCTTCTATTGAAGTATGTAAACTGAAGCACCAATATTTTATGAATGATATTTTCTATTAATAAAATATATAAGCATTATATTAAAAGTATTTTCATATGAAGTCACCAAGATACAACATTTCCCAGTAGTAAATTCATTAATTGTGTGCATTTTCCTGTAATTCACATATTGGCTTTAATAAATTATAATTGACAAAAACTAAGGAAACATTGATACTCCTTTTTCCATAAAGTCACTTCAGAATGCCCTTAGATTCTATTTCCAATACATATATTAAATTAGTAGCCAGAGATTTCATGGCTTTCTCCCATCTCCACAAATAAAAAAAAAAAAACCCTTGAATTATATCCTGAATGATTTTCTCAATGGTCCCATATTCTTTATGTTAAAGCATTCCAGAATTCTCTTACTTTCTAAGTTTATACATAAGCATAATGACTGGGTATTAATAAATGTAATCTTTGTTTCCAGTTTATCTTCTCGGGAGCCTTTACAGTATTGTTAGAAAAGAGACGTTCACCATTCTTGGTAAGTCAGAATGCTTATAGCAGCTCTAGAGTTTTATTTGCCAAAAGAAGGAAAGTCAGTGGGTAGGCAGCATTGTCTGTGTGTCACTAGAAACCTACATATAATTGAAGAATAGATTTTTAAAATATAAGAAATGTAAGTTTCCATTGCATTTTCAAACAAAAACAGAATACATGCCAGTTACTGAAGGCATTGTTATATTTCATCAGTTATAAAAATAACTCAGATGTATGAAGTTAATCAAGAAGCTAAATTTCTACATGATAAATCATTTAGTGCAAATTAAAATTCAATGAAGACATAAATATAGCTATCTTGAAATGACCCAGTTTCTGTTATTACCTTCTTTTTCTCTTGCTTCTTTCTTCACATGTCTAGGAACTTTTAATTGTATGGGGGCTACTGTGTATGTGGTGTTTTAAAGAGTCTGGATCATGTTGATTTCCTTTTGTATTGCATTTTGTATTGATAGGAAGTGAGGTGAAAGAATAAGAAATTAGAATAATTATGTATGTAAATGCTAGAAGATTGACTTCTGGAATGGCAAACTGAGAACTCCATGAAATCGTTCTTTAACAAAAGCAGGGAAAGCACTGGCAAAACAACCAAAAGTAATGATTTCAGAGCTTTGGAAATTAATCAAAGCCACAGCTAAAACAGAAAATTATCTAAGAGATACTAGTAAACCTCAGAAAAATAGAGAGATCTATAATGTTTTAATTTGAGGCTAATTTCTATCCCCTCTCCCTTCAAGCTCATTGGCAGAGTATGTATGAAAAGCCAGCAGTAGAGCACCCAGCTGAGAGGACCGACATCTTGTGATGCTCTATTAAAAGTGCCATCATCTGAGCACAGTCAATATTTTGTCTGAAATTGCACCTCTGTTCCCAGGATGTTTTGGCTATTTTTTGTATAGATTTCAGCTCAGTGAAAACAAAGTCCTACCACTAGATGGCGTAAACACCATCAATCTGCTAACACTAGCACAGCTTAGTAAGGCTATGAATGCAGGTAAATAAGGGCTTGGTCAGAAATTTAAAAGACAATCCTGAATAACTAGATAATCATAAGGAGCTTTGAAAAGCTCTGACATATTCTTGGAGATCTAAAGTCCCTCACAAATATGGAAAGCTATGTGCATGCCCAGGAAACAACTAAGAAAGAAGAAAGGCCCACCGCTCATTTACCTCTGGCTGACTATGAGGCCCTAAGCAAGGAAGAAGTGAAAGCTGAAGCTGTCTTATAAACTAACTGAAATTTTAACCATATATTCTCATACATACTCTCCTTGGCAAAGGATTATGGACTGACATTAAATTACACTGGGCCTGGAATGGCTCCCAGGAAGCAGATAACCATGGGCCACATTGAGGGAATAAAATATTTACAGAATTAATCCAGGAAATTTAACAAGAAGAAATAAGAAAAACAAAAACAAAAAAAGCAAAAATAGCCAAAAAAGCAACCAACAGAAAAATATTACTGTGTGGGCCAAAATTTGGTACTTACTACTCAAAGACTTTAAATTAGATCTTTTAAGTATGGTCAGAGAACAAAAAAAAAAATTGTTTAAAGAATTAAAAGAAAGCATAAAAGTGATATGTCACCAAATACAGAATATCAATAAAGAGATAGAAATTATAGATTTTTAAAAATTAACATGCTAATTGGAATTCCCATAGAAATCACTTTAAAACATGACTGAAAATATACACAACAAGAAATAAGGCCATCTCCAGTGATGCCAGGCACAAGTTCAACTCAAACCATCCTAGACTACAGACTAGTCCTACGGACCCAGACTCTACACCTGCCCTAGCACCAGGCCAACCCTAAGCTGCAGGCCAGTTCCTATAGCCCAAGTCTCCAGAGGACCCAGGGTCTAGGCCTGCTCCAGCAGACCCAAGGTCCAGGCCCACCCCAGTGGACCCCATTGCCAAAATGAGCCACATGGACTGAGGCACCATGACCACCCTTGCAGACCCATTCCAATGCCCATGGACTCAGGACCCAGACTGACCCCTACAGACTTGGTTTAGACTTGCCCCAGCACCAGACCAGCCCCATGGACTCAGAATGCAGACCCATGTCAGTGGTCGCAGGTGCCAGGCCCATCACAACATCTGAGTGACCCTTAAAGACTCAGGCTCAAGGTTCACACTAGTATCAGCTCAGCTCTTGGCTGGCCCCCATGGATACAGGCTCCTGGCCCATACCCATATGCCAATCAACAAGTCCACCATGGTAGATCAGGGCTACAGGCACAACTCCACAGAACCAGGATTCAGGCCCACCTACCTGCTAACCTGGTATCAGGCCAGCTTGCCTGAGGACTCCTGCAACAAGCCAACCATACCAGATGTTCTGCCCAGAATCTCTGAATCCGGTGAAAATCTTTTCTAGACAAAACTAGTACGAAAAAACTGGAATAAGGCTCCTACTTCAAATGGACAGATATCAACATAAGGCAAAAAAAGATGAGAAAACAAGAAGACATACCACCAAAACAAGACAATATGCTCCCAGTAGCTGACCCCAAAGAAATGGAAATATATGAACTTCATCATCAATAATTAAAGTAATTGTCATTGAAAGGCTCAAGGAACTTCAAGAAAATGCAGATAATTTTATAAAATCAGGAAAACAAAAACTGACCAAAATGAGAAATTTAAGAGTGAATAAAATTATTTTTGAAAATTAAACAGAAATTCTGAAGCTGAAAAATAAATGAATGAAGTTAAAATGCAATAGAAGCAACAACAGAATTCATCAAGCAGAAGACACTGAAGACACAGAAGACAAGGCATTTGAATATATACAGTCATAGGAGAAAAAAATGAAAAGGACAAAAAAGTCTATAGGATTTGTGGGACAAGATCAAAAGAGGAAATATTCAAAATATAGGAGTTCAAGAAGAAGACGACAAAGACAAATGGCTATAGGAAGATTTTTAAAATAACATAAGAAAGCTTTCTAAATCTGGGAAAAGATATAAATATCCAGGTACAGGAAGGACCAAAGGTCTCCAATTAGATCAAATTCAAGCAAGATTACACCAAGATATAATCAAACTATCAAAAATCAAAGACAAAGAGAGGCTCCTGAAAACAATAAGAAAAAAGAAGTAACTAATATATAAGAAAGTTTCCGCCAGGCGCGGTGGGTCACGCCTGTAATCCCAGCACTTTGGGAGGCCGAGGCGGGCGGATCACAAGGTCAGGAGATCGAGATCATCCTGGCTAACACGGTGAAACCCCATCTCTACTAAAAATACAAAAAATTAGCCGGGCACGGTTGCGAACGCCTGTAGTCGCAGCTACTCAGGAGGCTGAGGCAGGAGAATGGCGGGAACCCGGGAGGCGGAGCTTGCAGTGAGCCGAAATCGCGCCACTGCCCTCCAGCCAGGGGGACAGAGCCAGACTCCGTCTCAAAAAAAAAAAAAAAAAAAGTTTCAACAAGGCTGGTAGGAGATTTCTCAGCACAAATGTAACAGGCCTGGACAGAATAGGATGATATAATCAAAGTGGTGAAAGAAAAATACTGTCAACTAATGACCCAGGAAAGCTGTTCTTCAAAAATTAAGAATGAAGACTTTCTCAGACAAAAGCTGAGAGAGTATATTATCCTGTAATGGAAGGGTCAAAGCTTACAAAATTTTAGTTAGATAGGAGTAATAAGTTCAAGAGACCTTATGGTGCAACATGATGACTATAGTTAAAAACACCAGATGTAACAGAGGTGTTGAACTTATTACACTGTGACTTCAAAAAACTATGATTAATATGCTGAGAAATCTAATGGAATAAAGTGGGCAACATGCAAAAACAGATAAGTAATGTAATCAGAGAAACAGAAATTCTAAGATGTAATAAAAAGGAAATGCTAGAAATAAAAAACGTTATAACAGAAATGAATAATGCCTTTGATGGGCTCATTAGTAGTCTGGACATGTCTGAGGAAAGAATTAGTGAGTTTAAGGATCAGTAAATATAGAAGCATCCACAACTAAAAAGTAAAGGAAAAAAAAAAAAAATGAAAAAAAAACGGGACAAAAAATCCAAGAACTGTGAGGTAAAGACAAAAGAAGTAACTTGTGCATAATGGAACTGCCAAAAGAAGAACAAGAGGGAGCAGAAGAAATATTTGTAGCAATAATGACTGATAATTAATATCAGACCAAACCACAGATCCAGAAACTTAAAGGACACTAAGCAGAATAAATGCCAAAAATATACACTTAGGAAAATTATACTTAAACCACAGAAAATCAAATATTTTTTAAAAAATCTTGAAAGAAGTTGTATTAGTTTGTTCTTGCACTGCTATATAGAAATACCTGAGACTGGGTATTTATAAAGAAAGGAGATTTAATTGACTCACAGTTCCTCAGGCTGTATAGGAAGCAGGACAGCATCTGCTTGGCTTCTAGGAAGGCCTCAGGAAACTTAAAATCATGGCAGAAGGTGAAAGGGAAACAGGTACATCTTACATGACAGGAGCACGACCAAGGCGGGAGGAGGTGCCACACATTTTTAAACAACCGGATCTCATGATAACTCATTCACTATCATGAGAACAGAGGGGGAAATCCACCCTTTTGATCTAATCACCTCCCACCAGGCCCTACCTCCAACATGAGAGATTATAATTCCACATGAGATTTGGGCAGTGACACAGATCCAAACCATATCAGAAGCCAAAAACAAATTACCTATAGAGAATCAAGGATAAGAATTACATAGGACTTCTCCTCATACACCACACAAGTAAAAAGAGTGGAGTTAAATATTTAAAGTATTTGGAGAAATGCCAACCTAGAATTCTGCAGTCTGTGAAATTATTCTTCAGAAGTGAAGGAGAAATAAAGATTTGCTCAGACAAGCAAAATTGAAGAAATTTGTTGAGAGTAAACCTGCTTTGCAAGAAATGTTAAAGTTAAAATTTTTCAGGAACCAAAAGAAATGATTTGTCAAACTTAGAACTTAATAAAGAAAAAAAGA